CACCCAAAGAAGGCAAGTAACATGGTCTCCTCTGTAATAACTGTTGCTAATACTTGATTTGGACTTCAAACAGCTTTTTGAGAAGGGTCAGACTCCAAGGGCAAAAATAATTAAGAGATACAGGATGGCTGCTAAGTATTGTGTGCCAACCAGTAAACACTGCCATAATTGTTGATATGGGACATACAAACACTCAGAAAGAAAAGATGGCTTTCCTCCTTGTTACTTAGTCTCTCTCCTTGGGTTTTAGTTCAGAGTTAACAGGGCTACCTCAAACAATGACAGGTTTCCTACTTCTAATGTCAGTGCTTATACTTAAATTCTTACTGGGGCTCCCCATCCCTGTGGGGTCACATACAGGAGTCCAAGGCGACAGGTAAGCTCACAACAGGAAGGTCACCCACAAAGCTTCCATAAAGTTTACTTTCTAGAAATCAGGCAATGAGCAAAAGGCCTTTGGGAGATATTTTTTGAACACACTGACATTAGGCCACATTATACAAGGAGATGGACCGTTTCGCTTTTTCCCACCCTAGGAACTTTGCCTGCAATGTTGGAGGCCACACACCGGCTCTTGAGACCCTTATCCGATTTGCTTGAAAGAAATGTCTGAGTTGCAAAACTCAGTATTCTTCAAATCAGCCAAGAACAGATATTGAGAAAGTAGATTTAATTTAAGTCACATACCTATACAAACAATATAAAGAATTATGCAAAATGAAAGCATCTATCATTGAGTAGAATCACTAATGTGGCATGCACAGGGTAGTTTCTGTAAGCTAAATACCACAAAGCACAGCTTGTGAAAGTTAACAGCCTCAGTTCCAGGACAGCTTAGTCTCAGTTTCTCTGTCAACTATATGCAAAATTCAGGTCACAAATTTGCTTTCTTACTTTTTTTTTTTTAAATAATACTAACTAGTTAAAAACATGGTAGCATTTTCAGGATTCAACAAACCAAAATGGGACCGGAACAGGGCTCATTTTGAGAAATGAAGGTGGGTAGAGGAGACAGGGCACACTAGGAGTGGTGTAATGATAAGCACAGCCACCCAGTTCTGAAGCAAGTCATGAGGTTCAAACCCTGTACCTTTCACTTACTACTGCAAGGTATTCAGCCTCCAGCTACCTGTCTCCTCACATGCAGACTGCATATAACCAGTCCTACCATGCAGTTTTGTCATGAAGACCAAACAAGCAGTGAAAACGGTGCCAGGCACGTGGTGAGGTCTTCATAAATGCTGGTCACAATCGCTATCACTGCCCCTGGATCACTCACCAGCAGTCCTACACACTAAACCTATCAAACATGTATGCTATAGTTTAAAGGTGCTCCGGATTTCTCAAGAAGGATTTGTGCATATGAGAAGCACCACACAGTCCTGCCAAGGAAGAGGGGTGCGCTGCAAATACCAGGAGTTGTCCGATGCCTTGGAGGAGTGGCACAGGGCACACTTGAGGAAAAAAGGAAGAGTGTGGAGCAGGTGTAGCTACTACGGACACCAAGCAGGCACAGCTTCTAAGAGGACAGTCAGAACCACCTCCGGGAAGAAGCATCAGTGGCCTCTCTGGGGCAGAAGCGCCTTGAGCTCCAATGTAGGTTTCACAGGGAGCACTCAAGTCCTGCCACTGTCACCCCTGAGAGCAACTGCACTGTCATTCATCTTAGCTGGCTCAGTGGCATACACCACATTCTCCTGCACACATGCGCCAAGTCCATTTTCATATAGGGAGGTGGGGGATTGAACCCTGGGCCTCAGGTCTCCTAGGGAAGCTCTCTGCCTCTGGGTCACATTCTCAGCACTCATTTGTCAAAGAAGCACACATGTCACTTCAGGTGGGGGGTATGTACTCCTGTGATTGCTGAGTGAAGAAGAGCAGCTTATTTCTTTTATATTTCCAGCTCCCCATCTCCAATTTTCCTCCTTGGGGAGCACCTCCATGGTCCACAGATTAGGAAACCTTGCTCAACACCTGGCACTTCAGGCAAAACGCGCACTGCACTATGCATGAGGACAGCTGCTGGGTGGGGATGTTGGTCCTAAGTTTTTATCAATATACATATTATTGAGGTGTATGTGAGGTGGTGCAACCAAATCCCTTTCTCTAGGTGGGATATCAGCAGTAGTGGTGATAATGATAATGTGGTAATAAATTTACTTATATGATTTCTTCTACTGCTGGTAACAACCCAAAGACCATCATTATCCCATTTTACAGATGAGTAGGCTGAGACTCAGAGAGATTGAGAACCTTGCCTAAGTCACTCATCTGCTAAGCTGCAGAACCTGAATTGAATTTAAGTATTCCAATAGTTCTGTATCTTCAGTTGAACCAATTAAAAGGAGGAGGGACCAGGACAGCTCAGCGGTACAGCACATGCTTAGCGTGCACAAGGAACCAGGCTTCATCTTCACTACCCCTCAGAAAAATGGGAGAACAAAGTTTCATGACAAATAGTGAAAAAGGAAGCTCACACCCAAATTAATTTTGGAAGAACAGAGCCCAAATGTTGTGTTGGGAGGGGGAGCAATTTATCTTATAATTTACATTTCTGTTATAATTGTGGTTGGAGATATACTTCAGCAGTAGATCACCTGCCTAGCACCACTAAACAGACAAAGTACTTATGTGTTTTTTTATTAGTATAACCAAAGAGTAAAGTGGTATTTTCTTTTCTGGTTTGGAATTGTTTTAAACAAAATCCTTGTACTTCACAAAAGATTTTCACAGGGCCATTGATACCCGAGGGCTTCATTAATTTTGTCAAGCGTCTTTCCTAGGCCTTTGGTTTCTATCCATTATCCTTTCAGTCACATCCTTTTTCTCCTTTTACTTCCTTAATTCAAATGATAAATGGTTCACCTGCCAGAATTGTAGTTTTTTTTGGTACCCGGGATCGAACTCAGGACCTTGTGTTTACAAGGCAGGTGTGGTGCCACTGAGCTAAATCCCTGGCTCAGAATCGTAACAGTCAATAGCTTTTCTTATGACTTCAGCAATCCTCCAGCACTACTTACTGCAATTCATAAATGCCTCAGTGAGTGCCCTAATTCATCTGTAAACATCACTGACATGTTCTTGGTTTTTGGTTCAGACCATGTCCCACTGGCAGATCTTGCTGTGTTCACATTCCTCTCTGTCTTACCTTTAGCCAGCAGCTGCCAAAACCCAGCTAAGAGAGTTGGCTCCACCAGTGTCTTTCACCTTGGAAGGGGAGGAGTAGGAAACTAATAATCTAGGACTTAGCTAAAAACACAGGAAGAGGGAGAGGGGCAAAGAGGGGAGAAAGGGAAACAAACTAAGGTTGACAGTCTACCAGTACCGTATTCATCTCCTCCATGCTTTCCCTGTTAACCTGCACAATGAATGATAAGGTAGGTGATCCTCACAATGACCCTACCAGAGGGTCACGATGATCTGCACCAGGTACAGATGAGGAAACTGAGGTCTGAGCAATCTTCCCAGTGTGCATGTCTGGGAAGTGGCCAAGCCCTCTGTGCCACTGCCTGACTAGACTTGCAGAGACCTGCACTCTGGAAGGTCAGACAGTCATCTGTTTGGTTTCAAACATAAATGCGGCACAGATTCTGAAACGTTTAAAAACTCTTAAATTCAATCTGAAAAATCCCTCCAATCTCACCTCTGTTGGTGGGAGGGACTTCATTCTTTTTGGTGGTAATGACTACATCCGTGAGACAAGGTGGCTCCAGACTCTCATGGTCAAGCAATTCCACCTACAGGTTCCAGCGAGAGCAATGTGGAAACAGCCCTCTGACAGCCAAGGGTGCGGTGCACGCGGTCTGTGGAGTACTACACTCTACCAATGCAAAGGCCACCACATGACATCACTCTGGCCCCGACCTGAAATGTGACCCAGAACCACCAGGTCCAAGGGTGGCCAACAATCTAACAATTTATGATCAGAAAAATGGTATTGCATAAGCCTGTAATACTCTATTGAACTCTAGCAGATCACATCATCCCCTGGTTTCACAATGAACAGCTAAAATTTTTTTCTTTAAGGCTCAGATGCACATTTTAAAAATTATAAAGCACCTCTGACAGAAATACAAATAAAATAGAGTTGTTTGGTAACTGGTTTTCTGGTTTCTTAGAATTTTTAAAGCAGCATTATTTTGAGTTGTTAGACTGCCAAACAGTACTAAATACTACTTTTTTGAAGATTATTTTGTTTATGAATGCATTATTTACATGGAAAGAATCATTTCTGTCCACTGTGATTAAATAAAAACAGTAACTATTTAATTTATATCATTCATTATATCTTAAAACATTAAACTATCTCTGAATTCTAACACATCTAAAGGAAATTTCTCATTTGTAAAAAACCTTTCACACTAATCTTGCCATAATCCCATAGTTTTAACAATTGTTTTATGCTAAAGGAAGACCATGAACTCTGCAGCTTATTCCCAAAGTAGTAATTTGTTCCTGTTATAAGTTTTAACGAAAGGTAAACGTGTTCATTTGTTTGGGAGGTGGTGGAAGGTCACAGCCCGATCTTGACTTGCTCTGTGGGCCAGCAGGTGGCTAGCTTGATAACTGATCCTTGAAAGGGTATAATTCTGAAATTACAAGTCAGCTGTCTGGGCCTTTGTGACTCGGGTCTGCCGTGCAGTAGACCAGAAGACCTAAGGCTGAAATTGCTTCACATTGAAATACTGAAATCATAAGGTATATGTTTGCTCACTTCTAAGAGAATTAACTTCAAAGCAAGAGTGATATGTAAAGACAAACTAGATCCTATTCTTTCCGATGACACTGGCGCAGATTCTGTGATACCAACGTTTTTGGGGTGAACCCATAGAACAAGGTTTCTCATGTTCACCACATCCACACTGGGGATTGCTCATTCCCTGTGGGGAAAGACAGTCCTGTGCACTACAGGGCTTCCAAGGAGTCCCTGGTGACAAGGGTTGCCCATCCCTAGTCATGACAACCACATTGCCACCTGTCTCCCTGGGGAACAGGAGCATTCTGACCCCAACATTCAGTTCTCCACCCCATTTGAGAAACTCAATCATAGAGTATGAGTCTCATCTTTGAAGAAATAAGTGAGTAATAATCTTCAGAAGAAAACAAAGGGGAAATTATTTTAAAATTATTATTGTTTTCAAAGTTCTAAAGATTAATTTATGATAATAAATTCAGACACTTTGAGAAGTAAAACACTTGGCAACTAAAAAATTCTCAAGATTACTTGTGGACTCAGGTCCACAAGTTCATGAACCTTACACTATCAGATTAGCTCAGTGGGTGAGTACCATGTTGAAGTGATGTATGGGATTTCTTAAGAAGCCCACGCACTTGTAGGACAAAGTACCACACCATCTACAGATAGCTCAGTCCCTAAACTAGCAGTACACTTCCCATGTGTGGTAGTGTCAGACTGTTAATTACAGGTATACTTAACATGCTTTATAAGTTCCTACTGCCCCAGGATTTTTAATGTATTATATTAGTTCTATTCTCATTGCCAACTTCTTGCTGATATTCAAGCTAGATTATTTGCTCATATCACACCTTGTAATTTAAAATTGATGTTTTATTACAACTATTTCTGCTAAATACCTGAGAGAAGTAAGCCTTTTACAAACAATAAGAGCAACTGAGAAGTTAAATATCCAATTTTTCCACTTATTTTAGAGCAAAGTCTGAGTACCTATCTAGTCCAATAAGTATTTGTTTCCTCCATTTCCAACCCTAAAACTCACCTGTCTGTGGTTTCTGTGCAAACGGATAATGTTCACATAACTCCTGCTCCCTCGGGAGTATTTGACCTCACTGCCATTCGTTCAGTTTGACTGTAGACAACTCAATCTCAGCTACTTCAGTTTCTTCACTGATAAAAAAGTGGGATTAATTGACCTTTATCTTTTTTTCCTTTCTCAAAGATTCTTACAGCATTTGGTGAAAATTGGTTATTCCCCCATAATGATTTTTTAAAAGAAAGAATAGCAGCTAATGGGCTGTGATTCCATTTTAGTAATAAAAAAATAGGGAAAAATAGAAATATCTATAAATTTTCATATAAACGTAAAGAAATGTGTAAGGTAATCAAAAGCACTCTAAAAGGACTTTCAGAATATTAAACCCCAATGCCATGAGCACCAAAACTAGCTCCTTGGTGTAATATTTTTCACTCTTCTAATACTTGACAATGGCAATGATGACAACTAAACTACTCTGATTCCCCAGCTTGGAAAAGATAAACGCAGAATGAAATGAGCACACGTTCAGCCCTTGCCTGCAGTGTACAGGGCGGGCGATGTCTCTCCGTGCAGGCCCCCTGGCCAAGGACTAGCATGGCTGCACACGGCAAGTGAAAGACAGCCTAGGTAGGTATCAGGCAGACATGGACACAGAAACACACAAAAATCTACTAAGAAGAAAGAATTCTTTACCAGGAGCAGAGCAAAGGTCCTTCCCCCTTTTTACAGAGCTGAAACCTGACCCCAGGGAAGGCTAGATAAGTGCTCTACCTCTCAGCTGCGTCTCCAACCCCCAAGGCCCCATTCAGACACTTAAAAAGGAAAAGAGAGTGGGTGGAGAACAGAGGAAACACATCATCAACATGGAGTGTGACTTCTTACTCAGGCCAGAGGCATCCAAAGGAAACCAGTCCCTGCTGCATGTGACTCACATTGGCAAAGTCACCGTGCGCGAGCAAGGTCCACTTAGCCAAAAGTTACCTCCTCAGTCACCCTGGAAGCAGCAGTCAGCATACTGCCCACTCTTTCCTAATGATCAAAAGCCTAAGATGAGTCAACATAAGAAAAATATACCCATTGAGTGACTGGAAATCTGAACTGACTTGCTTCTGCAAAGCCAGTGTCTCCAGGGTGGGGCCCGCTGGCCCACCCCGGGCAGCAGCGAACTCCCAGCCTTGCTCCGGCTCAGCGCTCCTCTCTAAAACGTGGGCCTGGGAAGCCCTAAGGAGGCCTCAGTCAGCCTCAGCTGCACTACAGCCAAGCCACAGACTCCACACTCACACTGAAGACTGGAAAAGCACATTAGAAGTCCAGGGATGCGCTAAGGTGGCTATATTTCGCTCTTTATTCCTGGTATCTTTAGTTGGGAAATAGGTTTCATTTCATTTTTTAAAATCTTCTGAAGCTAGAAGGTAAGACATGTCTCTTATTTTTATTGTTGCTTTCCCTGGATCATCATGTGAAATGTTTTATGTGGAATAGGCTTTTAGTACTGTTATATATCATTTTTAAAGGTCATCAAATTTGTATTAATGACGGCCCATGGTACTCTGTGAAAATGTTAAGAATTAAGACATTGTTAGCAAAGTGATTACATTTTCTAGGTGATACATAGTAAATATTTTTGTTAGTTCACTTCCTAAAGTAGTAAATAATCGCAAGTAGAAACAATATGCTTAGGGCCAGGGATTTAGCTCAGTGGCACCATGCCTGCCTGTCAAGCCTGAGGTCTTGAATTTGATCCCCAGTAGCAAAAAAAAAAAAGAGTAATAATAGCAATACTATTAGATTTATGAAAGAGGCTTATTTTTAATGCCCTAATCTGCAGAATACTATTATCTTTATATAAGAGCAAATTTTATTACTGGTAAACAGTACGTTCAAAAATTCAAATGTCCTTATTTACAAGCTATTTAAAAAGAATTAAAAATCTTAAATATTTTTCTCATGGCTTAACTTATATAATTAACATCTTTATGACATCACAGTCTTATTAGCTGATTAAATTTTCAAAGAAATTTAATAACAAGTGCAAAAAATTGTATGCTAATTTCTTTGCAGAAATTAAACAGTTCTAAATAATAAGCAAAATATCCTAAATAGAGAATATATAATCTATATTTCCAGTAGAAAGGTGTCACCACAGCTACATCCATGGCAAACAGAACACTGTATTTATATAAATAGAAATATATATATATATGTTTATACCCAGCCACAGTCAGATAGATACAGCACTGCAGGTTTAGAGGAAATAATATGAAAGGAAAAAGCTTTTCAAATATATGAGCAGTTTTGCACAATTTATGCACAAAATAAAGTATTTAGTCTTCTCGCTAATAAGTGGGTATATACTTTTATTTAAAAAATCTGAATGCTTAAGAATAAGAGCAGCTTGTTAATATCTGTGAATATCAATATACAATGCGGAATGATAGTTATTCACAAAACACACTACTATACATGTTTTCAAGCCTTCTGGACACACTGTTCTAAACTTGTGTTAGAAGACCTCACAACTAAGGCCTGAGCGCTCTGAGAACCCTTCTCTCAGTGAAATGGACTGTGACGAGTGACACACAGGCCCCTCCACTGGGTCACAGCGGCAGATTGTACACAACCAGAGGTGAGTGTGACTCATCTCCAGGTGTATTATAAAGTTCCCACATAACACAAACGTGTTTAACAAAAAAATCGAAATAGTCTTGTTTTTTTTAAAAGAAAGAAAATCATAAAGGATTGGAATGGACAAGACACACAAGACAGGGAACACATAATTAGGACTAGTCAAAACAGGAGCTGGGTTACGTGATGCACTGTGCTGCAGGCTTGTTAGGTCCATTCTGCACTGACAATCAGCTTTCCTACAGAGTACCTGGGTACCGCAGTCCACCTTGCAGGCCATGGAGCCCTGAGTGACCAGAGTACTCCCAGAATTCAGCACCAGGATTGGTCATTATTGACTCTGACTTTGACATTTCTTGGAAATCTTCCTAAAAGACTACCTTGTTACCTCGGGAGAAACCCACAGTAAACCCAGCTGAAAGGTTCTTAGATATGGAGGAACCAAATGTCTACAGCTGGGGCCTGCACATGTTTTCTCCAAGTCCAAACAGTAAATATTTTAGGCTTTGCAGGCTACAGGAGTCTGTAGTGTGAAAGGGGTCATGGAAAATATGTAAACAAGTGAGCCTGGCTGTGTTCCACTTCAACATTATTTACAAAACAACAAAAAAAAGGCGGTGTGTTGGATTTGGGTCATGAGCCATAGTGGGCCAACCTCTGGTCTAGAATATATTCATTTATATTAAAATACTTCCTCCACACTTTTTAAAGTTAGAAATTCTCATGAAATGCTATTCATGTAACAAAATGTCCCTTGTTAATTATTTTCCTTTTGAGAAAAATTCCTGAGCTCCCAAATCTACAGGGACGTCAGCTCATTGCTTAGGCATTTGTGACCAATTAGGTCTGGAGTCCCCACTGCTCCACCTAGAATAAAGGAGTGCCTGCCCCTTGTCACAATAGGACATGATCATCAGTAGACAAATGACCAACTAGTTTAAAGAGACAAACTCACAGGGTCACAGCAAGCTACGGGTATGCAAACTAGAATTATTAAACATTAATTTTATCTGCTTATTAAAGCATACCAGATTGAGTCGCTACTGTAAGACAGGTTGTTGATTTTAATTATTATATGTGTGAAATCAATAAAACAGTATTTATTTAAAATCATCCTCTACATTTCTCCTGTTCTCTAATTCCAATGACCTAGCTTTAAAGTCAAGAACATTTAACCGAAATATGAGGTACATATTCATTTAAACATATTTACTGAATGCCTACTAGCAGATAGGCACTGCTTTAGAAGCTGCAGATGTAAGAATATGACACAGTCCCACCATGAAGACATTCACTACAGCAAAGATGTCTCTTCAGAAAACAATTAGTCTTTACGAACAACCTTACTGTCAGATTACGAAAATTAGTTTTGAAGTTTCTAGAAGTATTGTATTAGGTATCAGATACCGTAATTAAAGCACTAACATAATTTTCACATATACCTCTACATTTTTTCATTATTTGATTATGTAAATGGAGTAAAAAAACAGAACGCCACTGTCTTCCAGACATGTAATAAAACCACTCAAAATGGTGTATGCTGCAAGGCCAAGTTTCTAACACCTAACAGAAGCCCAAGGCACAGGACAATTCACACAGGCTGCCTTTCTGGGGGAAAGCAACTGTGGCTCTGGTGATAGGGCTGGGAGTTGGCCTGTGGAAGGGACGTTTCATCATTATACCTGCCTTCCTTAATTTTCTCTTATAAAGACGCAGAATTCCTGTTTAAAGTTTTTGTGAAAAGGAAAGTGATTAACATTAAGGAAAAATCGTTGTCTTTGTGAGTGAGGCACAGAGGATTGAGAGGGCACTATATTTAAATTCACCACTTAACCCCACAACCTATGAATGCTTTCCCCTCTCCTATTCACAATAATTAACTTTTACTTTTCCCTTCAGGTAGAAAAGGTGATGAGGAGAAGAAAGAAGGCACCCAATCAATGTGTTTAAGCAGGTTTGTGGGAAAAGAGGAAGGCATTCCCATTCACTGAATAGATTTCTTGAGCACCCACATCCTGGAGGCTGCGGCATGGGCATGGAGAGCTAAGCTCTTCCTCTTAGGAGCACACCCAGACCACAAAATTAATTAAAGAAATGTTTTTGGCTGCTCGGGCTACAGAAATGACAGCCTTGCGTCTTATGCTTTAATAGTTCATCATGGGAATTCTTAACTTAAGCAATTATAAAATAAAAATGCACTGACGCTAAAGATAGCTTTATAAACCTGTCACTTTAATCTTTCTTCATGGCTTGTTGGTTCAGTTAGGTGGCTATATAGTCAAGTAAAGTTTCACTGCAAAAATTATAATTATACTAGTTATTGGGCATGAAACAATGTCTAATACTGGCCTTCTCATTATGTACATACTACAAGACTCACTAAATGACAGTGAAATTTAATAAAACTTATTGGAATCAGGTTATAAAGATAATTTTTACTTTGTTAAAAGTATATATGCTTACCTAAGATTTATTATGCTCCATGAAATCAAAAGTACAGGGGGAAGGACATATTTTCTTATTTAAAACAAGGCTAGCATATTGTTAATAGTCTCCGTGACAACTATGAAAGGGCAACAATACAAACAACTAAGGTCTTATAAAAATTGACAATGCTTTTCACTACACAGAATGATTTCAAATTTATTACTAGAGACAGTAATTTCTGGGTATCTGTTCAGTGGAAGGTAAAGAAAAAACACTGAATAACCAGTTAGCCAAGTTTATGTGAATAGAAGTGACTTCTACCTAGAAATAACCACTATTTTACTTCTTATAATTTTGTGTTTATATGGAAACTTCCTAATACTTAGGTTGAAAACATGCTTAGTAAGACTTACTGATGAATACTGTAAAGTTGGAATTTGCAGTTTTTCATGTTGAATTTTTCAAAACCCCATAAACATGATAAGCAATTAAGGCCAGATTTACATTTCATTTACCACTTCTGACATTTATGATAGCTTGAAATAGAGGTAAAAATTTTTTAGTCCATAGAACACATGCAGAATATACCTACAGCTTTTTGTTATTAAAGTCTAATAATCTCATTTCAACTAGTATATTTACTAACCTCTTCTAGGGCTCTCATGATTGAAGAGAATGCCATTCACTGCGAAAAGGTTATATGCCTCCCGGAAGTTCACCACAATCCAATACGCATAGAGTTTTGCTGCCCCTGTTGGAATAATTTCAAGAATTATAATGTGTAATATAGCAAAATAAAAAATATGAATCAAGAGCCAAAACAAAATAAAGGTTCCTGTGCCTTAATCATGCTCATCGGAAATATTTAATAATTTCCTACTTGTATAATATCAGTAGTTCTTTTATTGTGTAATTTGAATATAGAGTGCAAATTCACTTTTCTTAGATCTTATAGTCTGTTTTTCTTTTCTTCAGTGCTAAAGAATTAGAAAGGAAAAGATTGGGACACTAACATTCGAACTGCTTTGAAATTTTAACACTGAATTATTTCATAAATATTTTCTTTAAGAATATACTAGACGTATCAGATTTTTATTCCTTTTTTTAAGGGTTTGAGTGCACGGAAATTTTCATGGGCAAAGTAAAAAACATGAAAACTTATCACTCCAGCATAATCTCAGAACAGTTCAGTGTAAGAATTATGCTGGGTCCAAGTTTCCTCTCAGAGTGATCTGATGGAAGGGCTGAATGTACGAAGATGGTGAAATGAGGTGGTAATTTCACCCCGGGGCCATGGCAATGCATATGCGTATTTAGCAATGTGCAAAGGTGTGCTTCTCAACAAGTCCAGTCACTTTAGTCTACCTTCGTGTTGATCTCACATCCAAATGACTTCAGCCAGGAGACATGGGCAGAACAGAACAAAAGCAGGCCCCGCCCCAACACACACAGAGTACCATGCACACGCTTCTCACCATAGGGTGACCGTGGGTAGAAAGGGGTGGTCTCCTTCTGGGGGATCTCTTGCACCTTCCCATAAAGTTCACTTGTGGAGGCCTGGTAGAACTTCACAGAGTTGATAAGGCCACAAGTCTTCACTGCATCCAGAAGCCGCAAAGTGCCGACTCCATCGACATCTGCAGTGTACTCAGCTAAGTCAAAGGAAATCTGCAAATAGAGGGTGGAAACAGGGCGACGTTCGCAGGTAATAGTGACAAATGCTGGCAGGGTTGTCAAGAACTAGATTGTACACACTGTGTAACGTTGCATTGGTGAGAAAACAGCCCCACTTTCTAACAGCTGAATGAGAGTGTGGCTGTCATCTATTTCTGATATCAAATGGCTGGAAATGCTACAATACACATTCATACCTACTGCAATATAAAGAATACCTTTAGGTTGCCTCCTCATTCCAGGCTGAATCCCTGGGTATTGCTTATCACAGGGCAAAGCCCTCTTCCTCAAAAGGTGTTCCTTAGGACTAGGGGTGCAGACCCAGGACATTCACACTCTTCACAAGTTCCAACTGACTTTGCACAGAGAAGATTGAGAATGTATGTTGTAGAACACAGTTGATGTATGAAAGGATTCTTTTGTATTCTATTTTAAAATTAAGACAGAAAACGGGACTGTAGTATATTGCAAGTCTACATAATCTTTTTGTAAGACAGTACATATGGCAAGCTGCTAATGTACATATGAACTGCCTAACTCCTAACAGGGCAATGAGTAACAAGTCAATATATGGCTATGCTTTGAGATAGCTGTCAGGAAACAGATGCGACTGAAATGCCTTTTCTTAAGTCATCTCTACACACAACCAACAAATTACCCTGTTATGAAGTCCTCTAAAATAATGAGGCTGAAACTCTGACACTGGTCTATTCACTGCTTGTGAGTGACCTCAGTCTTCATATGGAAAAACTCTCATTGGGTAAGTTAGCTGGTCTTTGCTGCTTTGCAGGCCCAAATGTCCCAAGAAGAGGCTGCAGCCCGTACATGGCACTTCAGGAACCCAAGCAATTACTCACCATGGAGTCAACAGCCTAAGTAGCCCTTGTCCTCTAGGCCTAGGGAAAGCTCAGGTAACAGCCATGAAATAAAAAGGAGGAAAAAGGCCAGTATGTTTTACTCACAATCTTACAAAGCCACAAAGGCAAATATGGGATCTTTTTTTCTTTTTAAATAATAGTTCGTTGAGATTTATTCACAGACCATAAAATCCACCATTTTAAAGTTTATGATTCTGTGGTTTTAATATATTCACAGCATTATGCAATCGTCAATACCATCTAATTCCAAAATATTCCCTCACCCGCAAAAGAAACTCTGTACCCATCAGCAATCCCAGCCCCCAACTTCTACTCCAACTCAGACAACCACTAATCAACACATTTACCGACCGTGGACATTTCACAAAAATGGCAACATATAAATATGGGCTTCAGTGACTGGCTTCTTTCACTTAATGTTTTCATTTCTTGTGAACACATGTACCCAGGAGTGGAGCTGCTGAGCCGCAGGGTAACGCCACGTCCAACATGCCAAGGACCTGCCAGGCTGCCTCCCGCAGTGGCCATACCAGTTCACGTCCTCACCAGCAGGGACTGAGGTTCCCACTTCCCCACATCCTAGCCAACACTTGCTGTGGTCTGCCTTTTGTCTCCCAGCCATGCTCATGGTCTAAAGTGGAGCTCCTGTGGTTTCCATCTGCATTTTCCTGACAAGCAATGATGTGAGCATCTTTACACATGTGCACTGGCCATCTGTGTATTTTAACTATTTTTCTTTTCATTACTGAGTTTAAAAATTCTCTCTGTATTCTGCAAACAGTTCCCTTACCTGATCTGTAATTTCAACTTCTCCTCCAATTGTGAGGATTGTCTTTTCACTTTCTTGAGGGTGGCCAATAAAGAAAAACATGTGCAATTTACCTACTTTTTGTTTCATCACTCATGGTTCTGATGTCATATTTAGGAACAATTTACTTCATCCAAGATCATGAAGATTTGCTTCTATGTTTTATTCTATGTTGTTTTTATTGTTGTTGTTTTTTAGACAGGGTCTCACTATGTAGTTGAGACTGACCTGGAACTCACAATGTAACCCAGGCTGGTTTTGAACTTGCAGCATTCCTCCTGACTCAGCCTCCCAAGTGTTGGGATATTCTATGAGTTTCATAGTTTTGCCTCTTGCATTTACTTCTGTGATCCATTTTGAGTTCATTCATATGTATAGTTATTTGCAGTTGGATATCCAGTTGTGCTTGCACATTAGTTGAAAAAGCTACTTCGTGGACCGGACCTGGCTGTCTTGTTGTCAGGCACTGGGAACAACACCTTCGGTCAGGGGTGTCAAAAGCTCTATGAGAACAACAGCTAGGAGAAGCTGTCCTCCACACAGGGCAGTGCCACTCTTAAGCTGTTTACATGAATGTTATTTATTCCTTGAACTGATAAGCACTAAACTGAGACAGAGAAGTTACCGCAAATAGTAGAGCAGAATTTTACACTTAGGACAATTTATTATATGCTGAATATTTAATATGTGTATAATGTACTTGTGACAAACCAAATATCCCTTCAATCTTTGGAGCACAAGATAAAGAAACAGCACAACTGCAAGTAGGTAGGACATTATTCAGAGGTAAAACTAACAGGAAAGGAGAAAAACAGGTGGGTTGAAGTTAGAAGATGAGGCGGGAGACGAAGAGAGAGAACGGCTATCTTTCTGCAAACTTTTATGGAAGTTTCTCAAAAATAAAGCATGTTTTATGGTCAGAATTCTAAAGGTAAGAATGGCGGACAAAATAATTGTTTGCAAAATGTTTTTTAATATAAACTAACATAGTAAGTGGTTCCTTTTTCTTTTTAAACAAAGACAGCACTTTATAGCTTGATCACCCCTAAAGGTTACAAATATGATTCTTAAAACATAGAGGGTCCTGAGAGTAACCTCCTTGGACCAAACCCAGCCAGCTGCCCGCTGGGGAAAGCTGTGCAGGACGCAGCTGCATTCCTTCCCTCCCAAGTTTACGGCCACTCTCAAGCTCCACTGCAGAGCTGAGTAGTTCCTACATAGGGAGCATTTCTCATGAAGCTGGAAATATTTACTATGTGGCCCTTTACAGAAAGAGCTTTCGGATCCTGGAACTAAACCACAGTTATATTTGCCAGGCCCAAGATGTTTTAAAATATGGTTGATAGTCCCTTGTTTCTGTATCTTCTCAACACAGATACTGCTGGACTTGTGATGGGGTTAGGTCCCAATAAGTCACAAGTGCCTCGGATACACCTGCCCTACTGCACACGTAGGCTGCTCTTCCCCTCCAGACCAGGAGCTGTCCAGAGGGTCCAGCAGTACTTAACTCAGGAAAAGATCACATCTACAATGCAAAGCGTGGCTTCAACAAACACAGGCAATGTTCACACCACTGTAAAGAAAAAACCCTAACTTGGAGACATCTGTGCTATGGTTTGAGATGGCACACGGTTCTAGTCACAGAAAAGGGCTCCTTTTTCAGAGGCACACAGATTTCCTTAACAGTAGAAACAGTTCACCCATAAGGAGGACAAACACAATTGACTGATTGAAAGAAAAACCCAAAAGACTCAAGTTACAAAGTAATATCCTAACTTCCTCTCTAGAAATAACTTGACTTTACTGGCAGCAAAGTTCCAGACTGGCACTGCCCTCATCAGGCTCCAGCTCCACCCTCAGCAGTCCCCAGGCCTCCCGGTCCACCACCAGGGCTCAGGGCAGAACCCCCCACCCCCTGTATCTTTACACCACTGTGCATAGAGCTGGAACCCAGAGCCAGGCTGCCTCTCTGTCCACAGCCTTGCCCATCACCTCAGTCACAGGACTGTGGGATGATGTTACCCTCAAAGCGCCACATCCCTTGGCCCTACCCTCACCGTCAATAACATCCATTCAAAACAAGACAAGAGTTACCCTTTCTCTTCCTTTCCCTCTCAGTTTGCAGGAATCCAAGCATTTCTCACCACTCCCACCATCTCCCTTGCAGATTCTCACCTTTCATTTCCACAGCAGTCCCTCCACTCCTGGCCGGTTCTGCGCCCTTCCCTCCTGCCTCCCGGGAACTCTGTTGCACTGTCCCAGGGCCAGCTCTTACTCCCTGTCTCATCTCTCTCCTTCTCCCTTCTCCATTCCTGCCTCAGAGTCAACCCATGCTTCTCACCCCCACTCTTACCCACCCTTCTGCCCTGCATCATTTCTTTTTCACTGTGACCTCTCACTCCACCTGTTCTCCCTCCCTATTAAAATGTGGGCTCCCCGAGGGCACGGCAGTGTCTGTCCTTTGCAGCATCTCCCACATTGCAGGGCTGCTTGGCATAGGATTTGCTGAATGAAGACAGTGCGTAGACTAATGATGTATTTAAGTGTCAAATACATAAATATCAGAATAAACGCATAGAAACCAGCAGAGAAGAAAGGGCCTAAGACCGATAATTGAATAGCAGTAAAATAATAGGTACAAATGTGAAGGGCCAGAGAGATAAAACTCTCTGTAATGCTGAACTTTGGTATAACAGTTATGAAAAAGGGTGACCAGTTATATGGAGTCAAAACTCAGAGGGAAGGAGAACCATTTAGATCCCAGCTGGTGAGTGGGAAGGGAGGGGCTGGCAGCTGGGATGCTCAGGACCTGGTGGAGTGGCTCCAGGAGACGCAGTGGCCAGCTCAAAGGGGCACGGCAAGGCCTGAATGAGTCCTGAGTCAAAGGGAGATACAACAGGTATCTAGGTAATTATCCTCATTTACCTATGGGTGATAAACCATGGCCTTTCTTGAAACAAACAGAAAATTACACACAGTCCCCTAAGTGGTCTGTGAAGTCCTCAGTTATAGGTGCTTAGAGTTTAGACTCTCATTCTTCCCAGTCTAGAGATATCACATCAGCCTATTATCACAGAAGGCAAAAGCTCAATGTGCTAGGCCTGACACTAAATAAATCAAATAATAAAGATAATCCCTCCATCCTTACAGCCCTCTCATCTCTTCAAAACCAGTATAGCTATTTTAATTTCATAACTACCCAAAAACAAACAGAAATCAGGAAGGCATTCTAACCATAAAGAGAAGGATGAACTGCTAAGTATTGTTTATTTCTTTCTTTGAGACAGGGATTTTGTTGTGTTTCTCGG